GGTGGAATTAAGAGGGATAAAGATGGTATGCTGAAAAAAAAAAAAAAAAAAACCCTGAATATACTCTGGCCCTTGATCAGGACTAATAGGTATAGATCCTACTCAGTTTTCCCATTTATTTAGTGCAGTAAAGCAAAGTAATATTTTCCAAACCAAGAACAACTGAATTCACTTTAAAAGTGCTTTTTCTCAGGCATTATATTACCTTTCTTCATGAGATTCCGCATTGTTATGATAGATTTTGGATAATGAAATCAGGAAAAGAGATGTCATCATAAAGTAGAAGTGTTTATGTAAGTCAGCACTGCACATACTGTATTATTACATGTGTATTACACAGTTCTCAGTAGCAACTGTAACAGTTCAGGTTGCTATTCATAGATACATTTACTTTATTTCACCAGCTTTTAGCTTTCTCCAAATGTTTACATGAAGGTGGGTCCTCCATATAAACAGAATAGTAATGTGGGTGTGATTATGAGGCTTTCTGCAACATAATAAACCAAAACAGTAATACAGAAATTATTTGAAAACAAATCCCTGGGTGTAACCTACCCACCAGAAGACAAAAGAGGGCCTGGTGATCTGAACACAAAAATACTGAGCATAGAAATATAGACCACAGACACATCCCCTAAAAAAAGGAACCCAGGAGGACATTTGCATGGTGGTTACTGACACAGCTTTGGAACCAAACTGCCTGGATTTAGATCCTGGGGTCATCATTTGTTACCTGTGCAACTTGGGAAAGTTGCTTCACTTCTGCAGGTCCCAATTTTCCCATCATATCCTGCCTCATAAAGTTGAAATGAGGGATAAAAGAGTTACCATTTGTTAAAATCTGAGAACAGTGCTCAGCAGGTGTCACTCAAATAGTGTGAGCATGTACAGATGCTCCTTGACTTACAATGGGGTTATGCACCAATAGACCCATTGTGAGTTAAAAATATGGCAAATCAAAATGCACTTAATATACTTAGTGTACCCCCTATGTATCATAGCTTAACCTATTCTACCTTAAATATGCTCAGAACACTTATATTAGCCTGCAGTTAAGCAAAATTATCTGACACAAAGCCTGTTTTATAATAAAGAGTAAAATGTTTCATGTAATTTTAAAAATACTGAGCTGAAGGTGAAAAATTGAATGATTATATGGTATTCAAAGTATGTGCACCACAAAAGTGATACATGTTCAATAGAAATGAATGTGTAAAGTCATAAAAATCATAGAGTCAAAAAATTATGCATCAAACCATCATACATCTGGGACTGTCTATAATGTATCATCCAAAAAACAACACTTTTAATAGAAAAAGGGGGTGCTAAAAGCATTAAAGTTTACATAATATTTTGAAATATTTATTTATTGGTAGCAAAAGGTCCATGTATAAACTGATATTAGCTTATTCAAAAAATATTTTCAAAAGAAAAATTATTTCAAAAGATAATATTCATAGCCATTAAAACAAATTTTTTATTTATTGAATATTATGAAGAAATAAAGGTAGAACAATTATTTTTTGTATATTGTTATGAACCTTAGTCCATTTACTTTATTGAACTTTTTTTTTTTAAGTCTCTCTCTGTCACTCAGGCTGGAGTACAATAGCACAATCAGGGCTCATTGCAGCCTCAAACTTTTGGGCTCAGGCAATTCTCCCTCTTCAGCCTCTAAGCAGCTGGGACTATAAGCATGTAAGACCATGTCTGGCTAAGTTGTTTTTTATTTTTGTAGAGACAAGGTCTCACTATCTTTCCCGGACTTACTTTCCAACTCCTGGCCTCAAGTGATCTCCCTCTCTCAGCCTCCCAAAGTGCTGGGATTAAAGGTGTGAGCCACTGTGCCTAGCTAATTCTTTTTTGTTAGTCTGTTTCTGTCTCTAACATTGTGTTGCTAACTTTGGTCCCTAGAATGAAATATGTTGTTTCTCAGTGTTTTTATTTTTAATTTTTTTTAAAACAACTTTATTAGGATATAACTTATGTGTCCTAAAATTTACCCATTTAAATATACATATTAACGTTTTTAAATAAATTTACAAAGTTGTGCTAACATCATCATAAAGGTTTTCTTCTTTTTACTTTTTCATAAAATTACCCTGCAAAGTTCTTCCAAGTTTCTTTTTATGTTTAGCTAACTTGAACATATTGATACCTTTAACTCATTCTTCTTTATAGACCGTAATGTTTAAAATGAGGAAATGATCAGTTAATAGGTACTGAAGTACTTGGTAAGCTTGTAGCAAATTCTACTAAAGAGTGGATATTCTGACTTCTAATTTTCTTAAGCATAAAAATATACACATAAAAGCAGGACAAAGTAAATAGTGAATTGCGGGGTTGGCAGGCAGGATGTAGTACCAAAGTAGGATCAATTTTAAAAATCAAGTAACACATAACCACCAAACTGGTTCTGTGACGGCATCAGTTTATAGCCTTGTAATGCCACATATCTAATTTAAAAATTTTTAGTAGCCACATTAATTATATAACATTAAACAAGTAAAAATAACAAAAATATGAATATGAATCCACCTAAATATTTTCACAGGTACCTGACCTTTGCTTCATTTGTATTCGCTTTTCCCAATACTAAACTATTTTTATAAGACACCACTTTTTGGGAAAATTAAGTTGTCGGATTAAGTTGTCAAGATATTTTGCAGGACTTAGAATTTAAAAGGTAAATATTGAGCACTATTTGAGAATTCATTGTTTAAATTTCTCAGTTAGCCCTTTGTCAAAGCAAGAATAAATTTTAATTGTTTTCTGTTTGCAAGGCTTGCTTTTCATTATCCTCTGTTACAAAACTGATAATTCAAAAGCTGATCATTTCTGGGCCCTCATTTAAAAAATGCTTTAGAGAGGCCTTCCAAATGATTTCTAAGAGGAATATAAAATTGTAAAAGTATTAAAACTCTTTTAGACTATGTAGGCTTCTTATAAAGCACCTTTTCAAAGGCTCCAACATTTCTAAAGTCAATTTGTTGGTTGATAATGTAAAAAATGTATTTTTTAATATAAAATTATCATTAATCATCTGCTTCATCCAAAAAAATCTGCATTTTAGTTAGTCCTAAGATGTAGAAATTTTAAAAAATTGTAAATTCTGACTACAAATACATCTATTTCAATTGGGGATTTTCATAGTTTGGAAACAAAAGTATAAATTATGTATGGCCAATAGCCAAGTGTATTTCTGATCCATATGTTTCTTAATTTACTAAGAGTATTTTTAAATGATAATTTCCTTCACTAGTATTTATATTTATGTTATAATTACAAAACAATTTTATTTTTAATGTTGACTTTTTATTTTTATTTTGAATTTTGATTCATTTTAGCAAAGCGAACTACTCTAAACTTTACTTTGATTTTATAAATCGGATGAAAATACTGATTATGGGAAATAATGTGTCCATTTGAAAGATCTTTATATATATATATATAAATTCAACAAGTACTACAGCAGGAAAGATATATATATATATATATATATATATATGTTAATGATAACATATTGTTTGAAAATAACCAGCTGGGCACGGTGGCTCATGCTTGTAATCCCAGCACTTTGAGAGGCCAAGGCAGGTGAATCACCAGAATGAGGAGTTTGAGATGGGCCTAGTCAACACAGTAAAACCCCATCTCTACCAAAAAAAAAAAAAAAAAATTTAGCCAGGCATGTTGGTGCGCACCTGTAATCCCAGCTACTCAGGAGACTGACGCAGAAGAATTGCTTGAACCTGGGAGGCAGAGGTTGTAGTGAGCTGAGATCTGTACCCCATCCTGAGTGACACTGTACTCCATCCTGAGTAACACTGTACTCCATCCTGAGTGACAGAGCAGACTGTCTCAAAAAAAAACTAGAACAAGGTTAACAGGAATGGAGACAAAGAATGTGAGCTTTGGGTCCTCAAACAAATCTGATAATATAATTCCCACTACATAAAAGTCACTATTCTTTCTTACTGTCTGTGCATAGATTAACTGAAACAATGCATGAGTACACTTTGGGTGGGGTAGCTCATGCCTATAATCCCAGCACTTTGGGAGGCTGAGGCGAGGCAAGAGAATTGCTTCAGCCCAGGAGTTTGAGACCAGCCTGGGCAACATAGGATGACCCCTATCTCTTAAAAACAAAATTTATCTGGGCATGTTGGTGTGACCCTGTGGTTCTATCTACTCAGTGGGGTGAGGTGGGAGAGTCGTTTGAGCCTGGAGGTTGAGGCTGCAGTATGATCACACCACTGTACTCCAGCCAGGGTGACAGAGCAAGACTGTCTAGAAGAAAAAAGAATGATCACAAATTACATTCGTTATTCATGCATTTTCATGTTAACATATTTTAATATTGGTTTGCCTGTGTGCGGCAAATACCAAATTTCAAATTAATTTAGGGCTGGCATGACTCTCTTCACATAGTCTAACCTGTCTCCTTCCCTAGCCACTCACTGTTCTTCATTCATTGGCTGAAATGCAATTAAGCATTAAGTCTGAGTATTTTGTGGTTTTTAAGCATGCCTATTTAGAGGAGAACTAAAAGCTCTACCTTTTTGCTATCTGATGCTACAAATAGGAGAAAACAAGCAGATGTTGCTAACAGTGTCAATTAAGGAGTTAATAAGCAAGGAATGTCCATCTGTGACTAATCGGGGTTGAACATCATAGGATCACATTAAGAACTATTTGTTAAGCACGGCTATAAATGAGTTGTTATCATTATCCAGTTGTTCTGATACTCACAGTGGCCCTGGGTCAGTCCTGTCATCTCTTCAACTGAATTTTCTTTTCTCTTAGGTAGACATTCATGGTCCTCATGATTGTCTCAAAACTATATAGAATTGAGAAGGTGAGCAGACTGAGTACATGAGGAATATCAGTGACTTTAGAGAAAACACGTGTGTTGCAAAAAATAAGGTTTGGTCCTAATAAATGTTTAGTGAGCTTGACTATTCATATCTTAAATGTTTTTTTTTCTTTCTTTTTATTCCCAGCTGCAGTGATGAGGAAACTGAAACAGAAAATCCAGAGTAAATTCCACCAGGCCACACAGAGAGGCCTGATAGAGCCAGGAGAGACTTTATGAAATCCAGACTCTAAGACTAATGTTCTATCAGCTAGACCTCCATGTGAGTCTCCCTAATGTAGGTAGGAAGAGTTCTCCCTAAAATGCTCATAAAGCAAATCAGAGCAATGCTTCCTTCCATGTGATTTCTAATTTGAAATGCAAATAATTACCAATTTGTTTGACTTGTATTTATAATTATTTCCTTGTGAATTACTCATCACTAAATGCTTTATAAATATTTTCTCTTTTTTTTCTCAATGTCTATGGAATGATCACGGCATAGAAAATGTTGGCTTTCAAGGATTTATTAATATCTCTTTTTGAAATAACATGTATTTGTAAGATAGAATAAAATCACTTTAAAGAAACAAATCTTGAATTTGATTTCCTGTTTAGACAATGACTTATTTGATGTGCTTAATAAGATGAACTACATAGTGACTTTTATTTAAAGGATCTATTATATAAGAAGTAGAAAAGTAAATATGCACACTTAGTTGAGCACAGCCTTGCCAACAGCTCCTTCTGATAAATTTTTAGACTTTACTAAGTTTGTGTAAGCCAAAGGCAACACACTGTATGCATTACTGAATCTAATCTCACCTTTGCCAATAATGAAAAAAACAAGCTAGTGGCATAATATGGCAGTATGCATCATATCCATACCATAATCTCAAAATTTAACTCTTTGTGAAGAACTGAGTCAATTATTTCTGTCTTTTTGAACATGAAACCTAATTTAAAGCATTTTTCCAGATGATAAAATGAACCCTCCCTTACTCAGAAGCTTAACAAATCCAGAATAGAATACAGAACTCAATAACTAGATTCAAAATATTGTTCATACTCATTGCTTGGAATCACATAAATATCAAATGATTTTCAAGGAAGAGAAATAAACAATAGCTTCCCCCTCCCCTTTTTGGTCCTGGTTGCTACCAACTGGAAACAATGCATGTGTGTTTTAGTCTGTGCTTTGCAAAACTTGATGTGAATTCAAACCAGCACAAATATTAAAAAGTGCAATATCCACTTTTGAAAACAACATTTAGAAATTGTTAAATATTTACAGCAATTTGTTTAAGCAAGAGAGGGGAAGGAACCATTAGAAGAAATTCAGAGAAGAGCATTAAAAGGGTCACAAGGATTGACTTATGAGATCAAAGAAAAACAAATGCTAGATCTGTTGCTGGACGAAACCATGGTAAGCCAAAGCTCTAATAGTGATATATAAGTCTGGGCAAAGCAACTTAACATTTCGTTGTAATTGAGGGAGAAAAATGACCCTGTTCTATTTGCCAATAATAAGTATCATTAGGTAAAGGATATAGTAATCAAAAGGCAGCTCCTCAGATTTAAATATTATTTAAACTATCTTTAAACAAGTGGGTAAGTATAGCAACAGCCAAAAATGCTTATTCAACTCAATTCCTGCTTTCCCTTCCCAAATCATAAAATTGGTAAAACAAAAACAAAAAACAGAGAGACAAAGCTAGTTGGATACCAGTGTCTCAACTCCATACTGCAGCAGGGACCACATTTTGTGTAACTGCCACGGACTCAAGCATAGAGAGGGTCATGATAATGTAAGGAACAGGGCAGGGGAATAAAAGATGGTCATTTTAATAGGAATGACAAGGTTGGATGAAATATAAAAAAGCCACTCCATAGCCAAGAGAGGTTAAAAAGAGAACTCAGGAGGGTCCTGTTACTTCCCATTTCTTCTGACCTGATTCTTGCTGCCACTCCATTGATTAAGTTTTACAGTTTGCAGTAACTGGCAAGGAAGAGGTGTGCCTGTCAGCTGTTCACAGTGCAGAATCTTGAAAAGGTCAGCATAGTAGCAGTATGACAGGCCATGTAAGTCATTATGTGCCTTATAATTCATTTGTAAGTAGAATGAGAACTGGAGCATATTAAATGTAAACTCTGCCGTAGGACCTCTAAAAACACGTTAGTCAAATGGAAAGCTAGGCTTTGTTCTCTATCTAGAAGACAAACAAATATTTCCTCACAAATGTGTTATTTTCTTGAAGAGCAGCAGAAATGGGAAATAAGCCCATTTGCTGCAAAGTGGTTTAAAGAAAATATATTGGCAGCAGAAGGAAGGTGGTTTAGGGCGAAGATATGTAATAGAATGCATATACAAGTACTATGAGCTTTAAGATTCAGATCAGTGCTAGTTAGAAATTTCCTGATCAATGAAAATCATAAGACTTTCAAAGTCTTTTGAAAGAAATAGTGACATTTATCAGGTAAGATAATATATTTATGACTTACCACAGTTTTGTTGTGACAGTTCTGTTCATTGTGAAGCCTTATTTTACATTGAAATTGGCACAATTTTACACCATTAACCAAATGTTCTTTTAATGGAAACTCACACACACATAGCACATTCTTTAGTACTAAAATGCTAAAGTTGCTGAACATGCTACAGGTGATTATTAGGCAGTAGTGAAAGAGTTAATTACCCATCATTCCTCCCTGCTGCCCCAGACATCCCACTGTGCGTCTGTTATAGACTTAGGCACAGTTCCTAATGGCAAAATCTATTAGAATGCACAATATTCTCCCAAGGGAGCTGGTGGAAGTCCTGTCACTTGAGACATTTAAAACTGCACTGGATAAAGCACTAGAGAGCTGTGAGTGCATGTGTTCCAACCCTCAGGACAGAAATCATGACCTAATGGGTGATTTCTATCCCTTAATGTCTCTGATTCGCTGGGTGTTTTAATAGCTCCCTCATATTTAAGTAGATGAGCAATGGTCTATTTTTTTAATGGAACTTGAGTTTGGTCTGTAAAGGGTCAAGACAGAGGTGACAAAACAAGCCACAGGGGAATGGAGGAAGCCTCATGGAAATTTAGTTGATTTGAAGGAGGGTTGGGCAAACACAACAGTGTATTAGGGTTTAGCAAATGCCTTGACTTTTTTTTCTTTTTTCAAAATGTTTTCAGTTCAAGGAAACCCAAAACACATTTGGCTAAACACTTTTTCCTTAATTTTCAAACCCATGTGTATTTCAAGGGAAATTTAATCCATGTGTTTCTGATTCATTTACACTTAGCTCATCAAAATGTGGTTTCATAAGACCCATTTGATGTCTAAGAAGCTCTGTGAGCTTTTTTTTTTTTTTTTACAAGCTTTTTTTCTTTGAACCAGGAAGTTACATTTTGCCAAGAGTCAATGGAACTTCAACCAGAAAAGAATCGGTTTTGTTTGGGATCTTGGAATCTTCAAAGTTGGTGGGAGCTAATGAGCTGGGAGGGGAGAAAAGCTGATTCAGAGAGCAGGAACCTTCCCACTTCTAATATGTTATCTGTTCAGATAACTTGAAAATCTAGTTTTCTTTCAGTTTACACTAGAAAATTCACCTTTAAATTTTGAAAATCTTGTAGAAAACATGAGGATGAATTTTATTACAGGGTCCAATGCTGTCATATACTCTGATAATCTTCCACTAGTGAGTCTGTGGGTGATGATTATCAAGGTAGTAATGACATACTTATCTTAGAGGCAGTTATAAAGAAGTGACTCACCAAAGTGTTTAGATTGGCCATTTCTTATATTTAAAAAATATTTCTTTGCCTAGTTATTGTCACTCTGTGCACAACACTACTGGTTCTTTAAGAAACAAGACAAATAAGACTCAGTGAATGTGCTGATTCAGGTGCACACAATCCCCTATCTCATTGCCGGTGTTGCTAAAGAGCATCTGGGGTAAGGAAACATGCATCCGGTCCATCCGTCAAGAGTCCATGAGAAAGCCAACAATGTTTGCACCTGCAGGATGAATTACATCTTTGGTGTGTGTGGGAAGCTACATAATGAGACAGCAGAGCGTCTGACACGTTTCTTTTTACTTGCTCCTTCTGCACCTTCTTTTTGTACTACCTTCATTTTTTCCACTTCCTCTCCCTTTTCCCCTCCTTTATACAATCACTAAATAACTAAATGTGGCACATCCATCCAAGGATGGGTTGACATGGTTTACACATTGCTTTCATTTGGTTGTTCTTTGGATGAATTCTTCCTTGAGAACAAGATAATGAAAACCATACAGTCACTGAACACACAATCTGCCATCACTTTGGCTGTTCCTTCGCAGCCCATTTCATTTTATAAAGCCTAGTCCCTGAGTTTACTCCAGTAGAATATCTGAAGCAAGTGGAATCCTGCCCCCTATGGGCTTACAGAATTCAGCAAATACTGCCAATTTAGTCCTTGCCTGTCACCCATATATCAGAGAACTTATTTGAATGTAACATCTCTTGCTAGCCCAGTATAGGTTCAGAAACTTGGCCTTTTAAGTATTAATATAAGTCCTGTTCTGGGACTTTCATTGTGGGAGCTGAAGACAAAAGAAAATTAAAAGAACATTTGGAAGTTTTTTACCTCATGCAAACCTCAAATTTGGAACCATTGCCTAAAGGAAAGTGAAGGTAAATGTGTACTTTATTTCTGGGCTGAGCTTTGACAGTCTAAAACAAAATGCTAAATTTTTAGCTACAGCAGCAAGTTCAGATGACAAGTGTGAGGGAAAAGAATTATTCATTGATTCAAACTCCCATACCAGTCAGTGAAAAGGCTAAAAGCAATAAAATTACAGATGAGGTCTTTGGAATTTAACCAAAAGAAGTTCATTTTCACTTTCTAATTTGTCATTTGCTTTTAAAGACACCAAAGAAACATCACAGAAATATTAACTTCATCTCTGAAAACACAAAGGTAAAAACTATTGTGGTTTAAGATAGAAGATATTTTCTCTTAAAATTGTCTTTAATACTTCTGCACTGATAGAACTTATGAAAATAGCCAATCTATTACGGCTACTTTAATTTCCTTTCCCAAAGATACATAATCGAGCATAAGTACTGCAATCAATGCCCAAAACACAAATCTCATACATCTTGCTAATTCTGGAGAAATAGTGTCAAGTTCTTTTTCAGTACAAATTTATGCTTTACTTTTAATATGTTTTGTTTTTAATTCTCAGAAATACTTATTATTAGTCAAGGAAAGCAACCTTTTTATAATATAGAACTATCCTGCCTCTGTAAGAGTAGAAGCAAAATGATTAAAAACAAAATATGAAAAGTGCTATAATTTACTGAAAAATGTAAAGAAATTTAGAATAATTTTGTTCAAACTTACAATTTTATGATTGAAGAAACAAAAAGTCCAGAGTGTTCAGGAGACTTGTTTGAGTTTCACAAGCTGATTCTGTAAGGCTGGGTATCAGAAGTCATCTCTAAATACAAGTCCAGTGCTATTTTAACAATTGATAAAGTTTCTAAGAGCAATATATCCCTGAGATGGGACATAGCAGAAAAGTCTATAGAGATTCTTTGAATTTGGAAAGTTC